AACGGTGCGATCTTGGCGATCTTGGCGATCTTGGCTCACCGAAACCTCTGCCTCCCAGGTTCAAGCGATTCTCCTGCCTCAGCCTCCCAAGTAGCTGGGATTAAAGACGCATGTCACCATGCCTGGCTAATTTTGTATTTTCAGTAGAGATGGAGTTTCGCCATGTTAGTCAGGCTGGTCTCAAACCTCTGACCTCAGGTGATCCACCCGCCTTGGCCTCCTAAAGTGCTGGGATTACAGGTGTGAGCCACCACACCTGGCCAACAATTCAATATTCAATCTACAACTTAAAACATAAGTTCGTGCTCATGCCCACAGATCCTTTAGTACTCTCCATGTGTGAATGTGTATATAATGTAAATTCAGGTACAAATAATATATTGTTTTAATAGGAATATAAAATAAATTTCCTGAGGAAGGAAAACGGGATTCTCCTTGATTTCTACCAAAAGAAAAGTACCCTACATAAAAACTTACTACTTGTTGACAAACTAACCCTTTAAATATAGCATACTCTATGAAATAAAATTATTATTAAAAACAAAAATCAGGCCAAGCGCAGTGGCTCACACCTATAATCCTAGTATTTTGGGAGGCCAAGGCCAGCCTTTGAACACCTGGGGTCAGGAGTTCAAAACCAGTCTAGCCAACATGATGAAACCCCATCTCTACAAAAAACACAAAAATTAGTTGGGTGTGGTGGCAGATGCCTGTAATCCCAGCTGCTTGGGAGGCTGAGACAGCAGAATCGCCTGACTCTAGGAGGCAGAGGTTACAGGGAGCCAAGATCACACCATTGCACCCCAGCCTGGGCAAAAAGAGTGAAACTCCATCTCAAAAAAAAGAATCAAAAAATGCTTTAGGTACCATAGACTATTTAAGTAACTGAAAATCTAAGGGTAGTGGGATTAAAAGTAGTTAACACAGACTGGGGCAATACTTTACAACTTTTTTCAAATATAAGCTCAATTTTCATGGTCACCAACACCTCGGATAAATTAGTTGTACTGTTAGCAACTGACAACTGAATTTGCAGTGTTTAAAAAAAAAAGGGTTAAATCAGTAATGTTTTTAACTAAAACTGTATGTTAGTAATTATAATAGCTTGTTATAACACCTGGTTATCAGTAATAATAATTAAAAAAGCAAGTATTCAAAGTATATGATCCAAGAAAAGGAATGTTTTCACATTTAAGAACCTGTCAATTATCTTCTTTTTCTTTCTTAAAAAACAAAAACAAGCCAGAAAACAAACTTTGTACATGGGAATTCACAAGGATACATACCTGTCTGACATTCCTTGTGCTGTGTATGTGGTTTGCAAGAAGTGGCCTTGGTCTGTGTGACGGGCTTGCATAATACGCCTTTGTTCTTTAAAAGCCTGGAAGGCTGGGAAGATTGGGAAGATAGAAGTTTCATAGCATCTGCCTGTGTACTTTCCTAGTTAAAACCAAATTCAGAAAACAAAGAAAGATTTTTTTTTTTAGTACCTTATCACTGACTATAATTTCTATCAATTGAAAGTTGATAAACATCAAGAGAAATATAATTCCTCTGAAAGAGTGGTTGCAATAAAAAAGTCACCTTGGAAAACACACACAGATTCCTACTTCTCCTATCAGTATTAGTTTAATTTACTGATTTTTAAAAACATTTAAAAATATATCTATAAACTATAAAATATATATATAGTTTAAAAATAAGTAAGATCAATGAAAACAATTGTTAATCTTGCTGATTAGGACAATTGGCTACTCAGAAAAATTAGATCCAACCTCAGACCATACACAAAAATATATTCCATATCAATTAAAGATCGAAGAAAAAAAAAAAACCCAAAACTAAAGTCACTAGAAAACTTTCAAATAACCAGATCACAAAGTATTCTTAAGTAAAACACAAAAGAGTAAAACAAAGTAGGAAAGATTGATATATTTGACTACCTCAAAATTTAAAACTGCACAGATGATCCAGGATAATCTCCCTATTTTAAGGTTAACTGATTAGTAACCTAATCATTTGCTACCCTAATTTCCCTTCGCCGTGTAATGTAACATATTCACAGATTCTGCAGACAAGGATATGGACATCTTTGGGAGGCTACTATTCTGCCTATCATAATAAAGCTTTTAAAAATAGATTTTTTTAATCTAAAAAAAATTTCTGTAAACAAAGGTATTTATCAAACCAAGTTATGGGACAAACAACAGAGTGGAGGAATATACTTAAAACATGTGGTCACTCAATAGATATTTACTGAATGTTTACTACAAGCCAGGCATTGTTCTAAGCCTTGGGGATACAGCAGAAAACAAGACAAAGTTCTGCTCTTATGAGCCTTACATTCTAGAGGAAGACACAAAACATAAACAAGTAAAACAAGTAATATATAATTCCAGGTAGTGATAAGTGCAATGAAGAAAATAAAGCAGCGTATGGGAATGGAGAGTGATGGCATGGAGGAGGGTAATTTTGAAGTAAACATCTGAGCAGAGACCTTTTGAATTATTCAAAAGAGTAAGCCATGCAACGGCCTAAGGTCAGAAGAGTCCAGGCAGGGAGACTATAGGTGTGAAAACCTTGAGTGCGAGAAAGCTTGGCATGCTTTACAAACATCAACAAGAATGAGGCTGAAAGACAGTAAGCATGGGGAGAATGATACATTTGGAGAGGTACGCAGATTGTACAGGATCTGGAAGGTCTCAGTTAAAAACTAAATTAGGATTATATTTTAAATGTGATGGGCAGCCATTGGAGGTTATGCTTAAATTTACTTTAAACAAAAGTAATACATGAACTCAGTACAAAATTCAAAAGGTATGAAGTATTGGGTTAGTGCAAAAGTAATTGTGGTTTCTGCAATTAAAGTAATATATACATGAATGACTGCCATCTACCCAGACTCAACCTAGAACACAACCGCAGTTCCCAGTTTC